GAGGCTCACATGATCCTCCTGAGCCCAGTATTCAAGGTTGTGGTGAGCCATGATAGTACCACTGTACTCCATCCAGCCTGGGCAACAGAGCAAGCTCCTGTCTCAATGAATGACATGTTAATACTATATTTTAGTCTGTTGTGTGCAATAGCAGCATGTCTAAAAATAACAGTATATATAGCTGGTTAAAAAATATTTTATTATTAAAAACTGCTAACAATCATCCAAGTCTTCAGCAAGTTGTAATCTCTCTGCTGGTAAAGGGTTTTGCCTTAATGTAGATATTTGCTGAAGGTTGGGTGGCTATGGCAGTTTCTTAATAAAACAAAAATAAATTTGCCTCATCTCTGGACTCTTCCTTTCATGGACAGTTTCTGTGTAACATGTTGTGCTGTTTGATGGCACTTTACCCACATAATTTTTTTTCAAAACTGGAGTCAGTCTTCCCAAACCCTGCTTTGCTTTACCAACTAAGTTTTTGGAATATCCTAAGTCCTTTGTTGTCATTTCAATAATGTTCACAGCATCTTCACCAGAAGTAGGTTCCATCTCAAGAAATCACCTTTTTGTGCTCATCCATATAGAAGTAACTCCTCATTTGTTAAAGTTTTATCATGAAATTATAACAATTGAGTCACATCTTCTGACTTCGCTCTTAATTCTAGTTATCTTGCTATTTCCACCCTATCTACAGTACTTCCTGAGCTGAAGTCTTGAACCCCTCAAAGTAATCCATAAGGGTTAGAATAACTTCTTTCAAACTCCTGTAAATATTGATATTTTGCCCCTGCCCCACCTTCCCACTATGAATGTTCTTAATGGCAGCTAGAATGGTGAATCCTTACCAAAAGGTTTTCAGGTTTTTTGCCCAGATCCATCAGAGGAATCACTGTCTGTGGCATCTGTAGCCTTACAAAAAGCTTTTCTTGAATAATAAGACTTTGAAAGTCAAAATTGCTCTTTCATATGTGGGCCACAGAATTAATGTGTTAGCAGGCATGAAAACATTAATCTCCTTTTTTTCATCAGAGCTCTTGAGTGAACCGGTACTTTGTCAGTGAGCAGTAATATTTGAAAGAAATCTTTTTTTTTCTGAGTAGTAGATCTCAACAGTGGACTTTAAAGTATTCAGTAAAGAGATATGCTGTAAAGAGATATGCAGTCCTCCAGACTTTGTTCCATTTTAGAGCTCAGACAGTAGATTTAACATGATTTTGAAGGGCTCTGGGATTTTTTAGAATGGTAATGAGCACTGGCTTCAACTTAAAGTTACCAGCTGCATCAGCCCTTAACAAGAGAGTCAGCCTATCCTTTGAAGCTTTGGAGCTGGGCGTTGACTTCTCCTCTCTAGCTATGGAAGTCCTCGATGACATCTTCCAACAGAAGGCTGCTTCGTCTGCGCTGAAAATCTGTTGTTTAGTTTGCCCACCTTCATCGATGATCTCAGCTAGATCTTCTAGAGAACTTGCTGCAGCTTCTCCATCAGCACTTGCTGCTGACCTTGCACTTTGATGCCATGGTGACAGCTTCTTTTCTTCTTTCTTCTTTTCTTTTTTTGAGTCAGAGTCTCCATCACCCAGGCTGGAGTGCAGTGGGGCACGCTCACAAGCCACCACAGCCTCAACCTGTGATGTGGAGGCTCAGGTGACCCTTCTGCCTCAGCCTTCCAAGTAGCTGGAACCACAGGCACGTGCCACCGTGTCCAACTGATTTTGTTTATTTATTGTAGAGATGAGGTCTCACCAAGTTGCCCAGGATGGTCTTGAACTCCTGGGCTCAGGCAGTCCTTTCACCTCTGCCTCCCAAAGTGTTGGGATTATAGGAGCGAACCACTGTGCCCAGCCAGTTTCTTTCCTTAAGCCTCATGAACCAACCTCTGGTGGCTTCCAACTTTTCTTCTGTGGTTTCCTCACCTCTCTTAGCCTTCAGAGAATTGAAAAGAGGGAGGGCCTTGCTCTGGATTAGATTTTGGCTTAATAGAATGTTGTGACAGGTTTGATCTATCCAGACCACTCAAATTTTCTCCAGATCACTCAGACTTTCTCCAGATCAGCAGTAAGGCTATTTCATTTTCTTAATCATTCATGTGTTAACTGGAATAGTGCTTTTAATTTCCTTTAGAACATTTTCTTTGCATTTGCCACTTGGTAACTGGCACAAGAAGCCTTGTTTTTGGCGTGTTTCATTTGTCAGCATGCCTTCCTCAACAAGCTTAATAATTTTGAATTCAGAGGAATGATTGTGTAACCTTCTTTCACTTGAACACTCAGAGGCCACCATAGGGTTATGATTTGGTCTAATTTCAATATTGTTTGCATCTCAGGGAATAGAGAGGCCCAAAGAGAGGGAGACAGATGGAGGAATGGAGCAGTCACCATCTTATATGGGTACGGTTCATGGTGCCCCAAAACAATTACATTAGTAACATCAGAGATCGCTGATCAAAAATCGCCAGAACAAATATAATAATAATGAAGAGGTTTGAAATATTGTGAGGAATGCCAAAATGTGAAATAGAAACATGAAGTGAGCACAGGCTAATGGAGAAATGTTGCCAACAGACATGCTCGGCAGTCCTAGCCAGAGCAGTCAGGCAAGATAAAAAAAAATACAGGATATCCGAATTGGAAAAGAATAAATCAAGCCATCTCTGTTTGTCAGTGATATGCTCTTTTACTCGAAAATCCTGGAGACTCTTCAGAAGACTCCTGAGCTTAGTAAAACGAATCCAGTAAGGTGTTAGGTTATAAAAGCAACACATACAAATCAGTAGCACTGCTGTATACCAATAACAACCAAGCCGAGAGTAAAATTAAGGACTCAGTTCCATTTACATAGCTGCAAAAAAATAAAATGCCTAGGAATATATTTAACCAAGGAGTTGAAAGACCTGACCTCTCTGAGGAGAACTATAAAACACTGATGAAAGAAATTATAGAGGATACAAACAAATGGATAAACATCCCACTCTTACAGATTGAAAGAGTTAGCAGTGTTAAGATGATCATACTACCCAAAGAAATCTACAGAGTCAACACAATCTATATTAAACTACCAATGTCATTCTTCCCAGAATTAAAAAAAACAAAACCTAAAATTCATGTGGAACCAAAAAAGAGCTGAATAGCCAAGACAGTCCTAAGCAAACAGAACAAAGCTGGAGACATCACATTACCTGACTTCAAATTATACTACAAGGTTATAATAACCAAAGAAGCATGGTACTGGCACAAATATCATGACGCATGAACCAGTGGTACAGGATAAGAGAATCCAGAAATAAGCCCAAATGCCTACACCCAACTGATCTTTGACAAAGCATGCAAAAACATACACCAGAGAAGGGATACCCTATTCAGATGGCGCTGGGAGAATTGGATAGCCACATGCAAAAAAATTAAATCGTGTCCCTATCTCTCACTAATGCAAGCTGTATTGAAGACCTAAATGTCAGACCTGAAACCACAAAATCCTAGAGGAAAACCTAGGAAGAACTTCTGGTCGTTGACCTAGGCAAAGAATAAATGGCTAAGACAGCAAAAGCAAATGCAATAAAATCAAAAATGAACAAGACTTAATTAAACTGAAAATCTTCTGCAAAACAAAAGAAATAAACAGAGTAACCTATTAGCAGGAGAAGGTAGTCACAAACAATACATCTGATAGAGGACTAACATCCAGAATCTACAAAGAGCTCAAACAAATCAGCAAGAAAAAATAAAAATAGCTCCATTAAAAAATGGGCCAATGACATGAACAGACGTCTCTCAAAAGAAGATATCCAAACGGCCAACAAACCTGGAAAAATGCTCAATATTACTAATTGTCAGGGAAGTTAGATACCAGATTATACCAGTCAGAATGACCATTATTAAAAAAACAAAAAAATAGATGTTGGTGTGTATGCAGTGAAAAGGGAATGCTCATGTGCTTTTAGTGGAGATGTAACTTGGTATGAGCTCTGAGAAAATCAGTGTGGAGATTTCTCAAAAAACTTAACAGTTGATTTTTCTATTTGATCCAGCAGTCCCAGGACTGGGTATCTACCCAACGGAACAGAGGTCATTATACAGAAAAGACACCTGCACTGAGATGTTTATTGCAGTACAATTCACAATTGCAAAGATGTAGTATGACCCTAAATGCCTATCATCTGATCAGTGGATAATGAAAATATAGTGTATATATATATACCATGGAATGCTCCCCTGTAAGAAAGAACAAAATTATGACTTCTGCAGCAACTTGGATGGAATTAGAGACCATTGTCCTAAGTGGAGTAATGCAGGAAAAGAATACCGAGTATTGCATGCTCTCATTTATAAGTGAAAACTAAGCTAATGGTCTGCAAAGGTGTATAGAATGACATAAAGGACATTGGAGACTCGGAAAGGGGGACATGAAACATTCGCTGCTGGGTGCAGTGTGCATAATGGGAGTGACAGATACACTTAAAGCCCAGACTTCTTTATACAAAATAGCCATGAAATAAAAAATCAAAGCGCTACTAAAATTAAAGTCATGCTCAGTGCAGGGTTGCCACAGACCTTCTATTTGTGAAAACCAGATTCAGTATTTGCAGAGCACAATATAGCACATAAAACAAGGTATACCAGCATTAGAGATAAAAAACTGAGTTCATAATACCTGCTACAATGTAAATAATCATTATGCTGCATCTTAAATTTATTTTTTCAAATATTTTCACTCTGCAGTTGGTTGGATCTGTAGATGTAGAACTAACATGTGGAGGACCAACATTATTTTTAGTTATATATTTAGTTATTATAATTTAGGGACAACAGTTATCAAAATTATTCTGAATTCTTTATGTTTTCCTTCTATCCTCTCTCAAGTTATAGCGTGATTTACTGGTGACTTATCATGCATTACATAGTTGGTTTGCATTTTTTCAATTTCTTTAAAGGTATTCAGGTTTATATTTAACATTTTTCGTACGTTCATCCTTTTTATTTTTTTCTTCAAAAACACATTTTTAGGTCACATTGAAGTAGTGAAATTGCTTGTGGCGCATGGAGCTGAAGTGACGTGCAAGGATAAGAAATCATACACGCCTCTCCACGCTGCAGCCTCCAGTGGAATGATCAGCGTTGTCAAGTACCTTCTAGATCTTGGAGTGGATGTAGGTGTATGGACCAAACAGGTTCAATCATGGAGCATTTTTATTTTTATTGTTGACAGAAGGTCTTTCAGGTTTAAGAGATGTTTTATACAGTAATGTTTTTGTCTTTTAACTGTGTATCGGAAGTCCTTAATGTAACCTCTGGTCACTGATTTTTTTTTTTGCCAAGTCTTGTGAATAGTCAAAGAATGTTCAGAGGCAAAATACATTCCAAAGATGTGTGGTTGATTTCCAGTGTTTCTTCTTTATCCCTTTCTAGGCTCTATAGTTCCACTTCATCTATGGGAACCAGTAGATGTGATGCGCCTGGGCTAGGTAGCTGGGTTGTGTTTGTCTTTTTTGTCTCATCTGATACGCTCTTTAAATGACCAGCAGTTGGTATTACAGGATATTAGCAAGAGCTAGGCGGGGAAACAGGAGGCTTTTGCCCACCAAGCAAAGTGTTCCTTACTATATAATCTGTTTTCTTAAAAAGGGATGTTTCTTTATCTGGATATAGTTAGTTCCTGAATTGAGATAGCTTAGGATTCCTGTAGCTTTCACAGGCCATCTTCTAAAAACACACATTGGCTGGACACGGTGGCTCAAGCCTGTAATCCCAGCACTATGGGAGGCCAAGGCGAGAGGATTGCCGAGTCCAGGGGTTCGAGACCAGCCTGGGCAACTTGACAAGACCTCATCTCTACAATAAATCAAAAACTAAGCCGATGTGGTAGCGCGCTCCTGTAGTTCCAGCTACTTGGAAGGCTGAGGCGGAAGGATTGCCTGAGCCCAGCAGGTCGATGCTGGAGTGGCTGTGAGCATGCCATGGCAGTCCAGCCTGGGCGACAGAGTGAGACTCCAACTCAGAAAACACACATACACTCTCTCATAATTTTTCTTCCCCTCTTAGCATTTATTTTTGTATTTTAGAAACGGTCTCGCTCTGTCTCCCAGGCTGGAGTGCAGTAGCGCTGTTATAGCTCACTGCAGCCTTCAACTCCTGGGCTCAAGTGATCCTTCTTCCTCAACTTCCCAAGTAGGTAATACTACAGCTATGCACCACTATGCCTGGCTAATTTTTTTGTAGAGATAGTGTCTCGCTATGTTGCCCAGGCCGGTCTCAAGAAATCCTGGCCTCAAGCAAGGAGTCCTCCCCCCATGACCTCCCAAGTTGGCATGATTACAGGCATAAGCCACTGGGCCAGGCCCATGCTTAACACATTTACTCTGATTTTAGGTAGAATTCTGACACAGTCACTGGTTCTTCATAACAGAAAGTGAGTGGAGAGAGGATAAGATTCTGTTAGAGGAAGGCAGTTTAGAGAACTACAAAAACCTAAGAAAAAGTAGGTGGTAGTCTGATTGGACAAAAAATTATGTGACTGAATTGTAGGACTAGCTGGACTCTCAATTTGAGGACCACATGAAACTGCCTGAAACAAGCTTGTAAGTATTGAAAATGTGGGCATCACAAGAAAAAGTTGGAAACGTTCATATATATTGTTACTCTGTAGGATCTTTAAAATGCAAAAGAGAGACAGGTTTCACTTCAGCTCGAGAATTTTCTGTAGATCTTTTCAAGCAGAGTAAAACGATGCCTTGAAAGACACAGAGCCCTGATCTAGATAAGTGAGGCAACCTTGTTTCTGGTCACTGTTTTAAGTCCCTCCTCGTATGGCTTAACTCGGGCTGCTCTGTGTTACTCAAAGTAAGCCGTCAGACTTCCAGTCTTTTAGTGACATATGTCCTCCACTTCCGTGGTTTTTTAGTTTCCTAGGGGTACCATAACAAATTCCACAAACTGGGGTACTAAAAACAACAGAAATTTGATCTCTCAGTGTTCTAGAGTATAGGCATTCTAAATCAAGATGTCAGCAAGTTGGTTCCTTCTGGAGCCTCTTAGGGAGAATCTTTTCAGTGTTTCTCTGCTGGCTTTGGTTACAGCATCCAGGTACATTGATTAAAATTGCATACAGTTTTTTACTTCCTCCAATTTCTGTTATGAGTGATCTCAGAAAAGAGAATATTAGTTAAAGTGGCAATAAGGGGGAAGTCAAATACAAGATTGGGAGAGAGTCTTCACACAAGGCTACCATCACTTACACCACTACAGGTTGAGGGGGGCTTCTGAAACCATTTTAATAATGGTCTCCTAATTCAGGAGAAGGGCTCACATTACGCCCTAAAAGCTGTGTACTTACAGTAGCAGTTTATTGCAGGGACAGGATACAAATTAAGCTCAGCCAGAGCTGAGTCTCCTCCTCTGGAATTAGGACACATTCCCTTCCAGCGTCCATGTGTGGCAGTCATTGTGCACGAAGCTTTTCTACCTGACCTCTGTCTTCAGTTCTGCTGGGGCTCCACTCCCTAGGTGCAATTGCTCGGTTTCCATCTCTAAGTACCCAGGTACCTCGTGATCCAGAGCAGGAGCACTGCTGCCAGAGTTACCATAGATGACCTCCCTGAAGCCAGGGCAAAGGCCAGACTTCCCCTTGGACAAGGTCAAATCCTTTACTTCCTGGAATTCCTATAAACTGTGAAGTACTCCCTTACTTTATTTTATTTATTAGAAGCAGAAAAGAAAAAAGACTTGAATTTGAGTCTCATGAATTATTTCTCATTCTTGCCTTGTGATAAAATACCAACATGTGAAGCAGGAAAATATTTAGAGCCAGATTTGTAGCAAAACATGATCAATAAGTAGAAGAGCGTGCCACTTGATTTTTGAACATGTGATCTGTGCTTCATCACTAAAGCTAGTCTTTTTTCATGGCAAAGGGAAGACATGGAAAGCATGCATGTTATTGAATATACCTGAGAGCCTTCAGTTTGTGTTCACTTTACATGATTCTTTGAATTAGTTCTGTAGTCATTCCCTTACCTGGAGGGCTTTCAAGCACACACTATTTTGGTTTTCATTTTCCTAAAATATCTCTGTGGGTATCATTCAATCTCATCATGAGGTAGACATTGTATATGCAAATTATGTTCCCTGAATGTACAAAATCTGTATAACCCCAAAATGCTTGTTGTTAATGTTGATTATTTTAAATGAGCTGTAGACTTAGAAGCCTCATCTGTGTATTTGTCTCACTTTTATAATTTGACTACAATCACGAGGTTGCTAAAATAGCTCACCACAACAATAATTAGCTGCTTCTTTAACCTTCACGTTTTCCCCTTCCAATAGATGAATGAACCAAATGCCTATGGAAATACACCTCTTCATGTGGCTTGCTATAATGGACAGGATGTTGTAGTGAATGAGCTTATAGACTGTGGTGCTGTTGTGAATCAGAAGAATGAAAAGGGATTTACGCCTTTGCACTTTGCCGCTGCGTCAACACATGGAGCACTGTGTTTAGAGCTGCTGGTTGGCAACGGGGCTGATGTCAACATGAAGGTATGAACAGAAGCAGAATCCAACCTTACGTGTTTAGGATTTCACTGTTAACTCAAGATGTGGATGAATCTTGAAGATACTGTGCTACATGAAAGCCTTGCACAAGGGTATATACGCTCCTTCCATCTATGAAGGTTCTAGAACAGATGAAGTTCTATTTATATGGGGTTCCAGAATCCATAGTTGAAAGAAAATCAGGCCAATTGTTGCTTCTGAGAGACGGGATCTACTGGGTAAGGAACACGAGGGAACTTTCTGGGATGAGGGTGATGTTTTGTGTTTTGGCAGAGCTTTGTATTATATAGATGAGGTGACTCATAAGGTTGTACGTTTATATGCTTTACTGCGTGTACATTTTCTCTGAGAAGAAAAAAGACCTAAGCAGATGTTGAGCCTTGAACCCTATTTCATGATATGCATACCAAGGTGTTTAGAGGTGACATGTAGTGATGTCTGCAACTAATTTTAAAGAACATCAAATAATTGGGTGAATGATAGATGGGTATATCATAAAGACCATACAGTAAAACATAAATGGTAGACTCTAGATAGTATGTACATGAATGTTTTCTCTCTAAGTCTTTTGACGTTTTTCAGTATTTCTCTTTAGAAATTTTTCATACTATTAGGGAAAAAAGCAATATCAGTATGTAAGCATTTGGGTTTTATGTGAGAATTTTTTCCATGTGTGGTGGCTCATACCTGTAATCCCAGCATTTTGGGAGAGTTTTACCATAGCATTGCTTTAGCCCAGGAGTTTGGGGTCACAGTGAACTGTGATCACTCCAACCTAGGTGACAGCAAGACCCAATCTCAAAGGAATGAATGAATGTGCTTTCACTGTACAATTCTGTGACAAAGCACATGCTATTATGGTTTGGAGCATTGCTATTTTATAATGCATAATCGTCATTTTAGATTTTCTAAGATGCTTTCACTAGTTGTTTCTGTATTAATTTATCAATTCTTACTTTCAGCACTTGCCAAACCGTATCTTATGGTATGAAGACAAGGAAACCACAAACAAAATTAAACCATTTAGGTTTCATAAAAACATTTAAGCTTAAACTGTGGTTTTCAGAGTGTTTTAATCACATTAGATTTCAGCTCCTTCTGCAGGTTTATGAACCAGTGGCTTTCAGGCTGACAGAGAAAGGAGTCCGTTTTCTTCCCTAACTTCATTGGAGCCTTTAATGATGCCACTGACCCACTCTGCCAGTGGGAGCAGCATCAAGTCCATGTGCAGTTAGGTCATTGCTTGAAATTGCCCTCTCTCACCTAAGGGACCAAGGAGGGGTGTGAGGTGTCATAAAGAGTCCCTATTATGCTTAGGGTTAATCTGTGCCTTGTTTAAAGTTTCAGTTCTCAATCAAATCGCCTGCTAACACTTTTTAAAAAAAACATATAGGCAATTACTAAGAAATTTATTAATGATGAGTTTGGACTGCCTTTTTTTTTTTTTTTTTTTTTAGTTGAATTCTCACCCTGTTGCCTAGACTGTTGTGCAGTGGCACAATCATGGCTCACTGCACCCTCAAACTGCTGGGCTCAAGCAAACCTCCTACCTCAACCTCCCAAGTAACTGGGATTATAGGTGGTTAATTTTTCAATTTTTTTGTAGAGACAAGGTCTTGCTATGTTGCCTAAGCTGATCTTGAATTCCTGGGCTCAAGCAATTCTCTCACCTCGGCCTCAAAGTGCTGAGATTGTAGGCGTGATCCACCATGCCCAGTTGAACTGCTTATTTTAATTTGAAGAATTCCTGTTGTTTAGACAGTCAAAACCCAGAAAAATATCTAAACTCTGTAAGGAGAAAAAGTTAGTTACTTTTTTCCTAAAGGCTCAGTAATATATTTTTGTTGAAAATTAGGATATTTTAAAAATAAAAATTTAGAAATTATCTTTACATTCTCAAAATCAAGGATCACAACCTAAAACTTTTTTCAGTCTCTGTGAGACCTATTTATGACAAAGTGTCCATAGTGAAAATCATTTTTTTGTATTCACTCTCAAGTGTCATTTATTTGTTTATGTGGTGTTTGCTGTCTTTGAAGGCTAGAGATTAGCTTTCGTGTTTTATATGTGCCATTTAGGCATGATACTTAATACAAATTGATGATAATGAGTCACTTGATTCATGTCAGTATTGCATGATTGACTATCGTACCTGTGGTTGTTTTTTTTAAGTCTGTATTTTCTTTTGAAATTTAGACTTGAGGATCTGTTGTGTAAGAGGCTCACTTAGCCGGGCTTGGTGACTCAGCCTGTAATCCCGCGCCTTGGGAGGCTGAGGTGAGTGGATTGCCTGAGCCCGTGGGTTCGAGACCTGCCTGGGCAACTTGGCGAGACCTCATCTCTACAATAAATCAAAAAATTAGCCGGGCGTGGTAGCATGCGCCTGTAATTCCAGCTACTTGGAAGGCTGAGGCGGAAGGATCGCCAGAGCCCAGCATGTCGAGGCTGCAGGGGCCGGGACTGGCCACTGCACTCCAGTCTGGGCAACAGAGTAAGACTCCAACTCAAAAAAAAGAAGAAAAAAAAAAAGAGGCTCACTTATAGTAAAATGCTGAGACCAGCAGTCCTGTTTGAATTGACCGCCATAATGATTTATAAAATTTGGTGATGGACTTCATATACGACAAGGGAATTTTTTAGCAAAGGGGTTAAGATATCTTTAAGTAGATGTGAAGGCGATAGACTATCTAAATAGATTTCATGAGAGTTGCCTTGATCTTGCCTCAGGCTATATGACATCCCATTTATGTAGAATTGTCCAATATTTTATATTGTGCAATTATTTTATTGCCAAGTTCTGTTGAACCACGTTTTCCATGCTGAAGACGTCTAAGGTCCCTTCCAGCTCTGCAGTTACACAAAAATTGTTGATAACTGTGCATTTTCAACTGCAAAAACATGTTCATTCCTAACACCTGCATTTCTTGTATTTATCAAATCTGTGTTTATTGATGGACTGAAGGGACACCCAACCTTGTTCTTTGCCATAAAACTTTAAGCCTGCTAACCCTTGTGCTCCTGCAACAGTGCCTCTTTCTGCTCGCTTCCTCTTTTCCTCCTACCCTGTTCTCCATTATGTTGTTTCTCACTTTGATCAAACTATAGATGACTAGAAATTGGAACGTGAACTTAAGTTTATAAATCCGCTTCTCGGTTTTGAACTAGTTGTCTTGCAAAGTGGTCAAGGTAAAACACATGGGTTTGCAAGGCAGCACAGGTCTGGTTTGTGACTTGGCTGACTGTGTGGATTGCCTGACTGCAGATTACCTCACTTGCGTGCACACCTTTTCCCTGCACTTGAACTGTCGTTATAAGCTATAGTTCTATCTTCATATTTCATCGTTTTATGAATTCACATTTCATTGCAAGTTTTGTTTTGTTGTTTTTCTTGTCTGTAAAAAGTGACTATAGGTAAAAGATTTAACATTAAAAATTAAGCTATGTCGGCGGGGTGCAGTGGCTCACGCTTGTAATCCCAGCACTTTGGGAGTCTGGGGAGGAGGATCGCTTGAGCCCAGGAGTTTGAGTCGAGCCCAAGAGTTTGAGTCGAGCCTGGGCAACATAGTGAGGCCTTGTCTCTACACACACCCAAAAAAAATCAAAAAATCAAAAAATTAACCGAGTGTGGTGGTGCACATCTGTAGTCCCAACTACTCTGGAGGCTGAGGTGGAAGATCGCCTGAGCCCAGGAGGCCAAAGCTGCACTGAGCTGTGATTGTGCCACTACACTTCTGGTCTGGGTGATAGAGTTGAGACCCTGACTCAAAAGAAAAAAAATAAGATATGTCATATGGGAAACGTTCTCAACAGGCAAACTGGAATCCTTTTGTTAAAATTCTTTTGTGTACTTTTTTTCTGGTTGAGAGAATAACAACTAGCACATTAAACAATAATGATAACATAAAAATGATGTTTTATATTGTCATTAGCACTGGTGTGTCATGTAGGTATTTTACAAAGATTATTTACTCTGTACAACAGATCAGTGACATATAGATGGTATTGTCCTCATTTTCAGTTGAGGAAGTGAAGCCACAAAAAAGTTAGGCAATGTTTCTAAAATGCTGCTTGTGATAAGTGGCAGAAATGCGTTTCCTCAGGTGATTCTGACTCTCCAGAGCTCATGTATGCCTCCTCTTGGCCTTCTCTCTCCCTTCTCACTTCATCTCCAAAAAGTGAGAAATTATTTCTTTTAGTTTATTTGCCAGTTAAATGGCCTGTTTACTTGAAAAAGTCATACAAAGTTATGGAGTCAATGACCTAGGTAGATATTTGTGATGTTCTAATACTCTATTATTACAATGGCGTGAGGACTTCTTGAGGACATCTACATTGTACAATGTTGATATAAACTTAGGCTACCCATCACATTTCACTTTTAGAACATGTCAGAAGGCATGCTGAATATTGCTGTGAGCTTCAGAATTGCAAAATGGCTTCTTTTCTTTACGTTGGTCACGTGTATGTTTTTATTAACCAAAAAATTTTCAGGAAGACAAAAAAGAGCATCTAACTTGGGCAGGGATTGTTTTTCTTCCTATGTTGAACTTCTTTAGAATTTCTATATGAATTATAAATATGCACAGCCAATCTGATTTATTAATTAGCTTGAGAAAATGACTAACAATATCTGTTATAAATAATTATAAACAAATTAATAGAGGCAGTTTATTTATCCACACAAAGTTCATGAAGTTAATTCTGATACTTTTCCTTTGTCAAAGAAGGATTCAGGATTTCTTATAACGAATACATCGTAACAGTGTGAAACTCTTGAGTCTGAAACTTGCAAAGCACATCTTGTCTGTACCCCTCCCCACTTATAAACTGTAGGCATAGAGTTTTTGTATATTTGTGCTTCATGATGCACATAGTAACAAAGATTAGTTTATAATTTTGAGCAGCTGTTTTACCTCCATAGGCTTTATTAAACCTAATGTTTGTGATAGTTATAGAAAATAAAGATGAAAGCAGATATTCCAAATAAAACTAATGATTACCTCTTATGAATATAACGGAGTAATTTAGATTTTTCTTTTGTTTGATTATTTCAGAGCAAAGATGGGAAAACCCCACTGCACATGACTGCCCTCCATGGTAGATTCTCCAGATCACAAACCATTATCCAGAGTGGTAAAAAGTATTTCTGTTTGTTTGTTTTCTTAAATGTAGTAAAAACATCCACCAAATGAATGGTATTGATGACTTGTTATAATAGTCTATATATTTTTAATACATGATTTCAGATCTCATGAAAATAATTTTTTTTTTTTTTTTTTTTTTT